CAAACATAAGAGTGGAGAGAGTTTTCTGTCAGAGAAGCGAAATACACCGCAAATTCTGCCCAAACTACTCCTCTTAGGGGAAAATATTCTTCATTTCGAGCATTCATTTCCCATAATATCTTTTAATACAAATTCTGGTGTCTCTTAAATGTGTCTGAAATTTCAAAATAAAGTCATCAAAAATATTATACAGTGTACCGTATAATAGGTTCAAAATTTATAATAGGTTTTGGGCGAAAGAGGAAAAAAGCTTAAACACACGGAAAACGACTGTATGTTTTCATAAAAGGCTCACAAAATTATAATTTATAAATATATTCCTATACTTATGGAACATATTTAAGACGTAAAGTCAATATAATTATCATTTATTTTTGTTGCTAATCGTTTGCAATCAGAGGTTTTCGCATAATATTTAGCGCCGAATAACACTCTTATATAATAAACTTATAAATTACGATCAGATAAACTCCCGACAAATTCAGTAGTGGTTTGTCATAAACTCTGGGAATAAGCAAACGGTTTGTCTTAACTCAACAAACATAAGAGTGGAGAGAGTTTTCTGTCAGAGAAGCGAAATACACCGCAAATTCTGCCCAAACTTTATGCCGAATAACACTCTTATATAATAAACTTATAAATTACGATCAGATAAACTCCCGACAAATTCAGTAGTGGTTTGTCATAAACTCTGGGAATAAGCAAACGGTTTGTCTTAACTCAACAAACATAAGAGTGGAGAGAGTTTTCTGTCAGAGAAGCGAAATACACCGCAAATTCTGCCCAAACTTTATAAACACAACCGACTAAAGGATTTGCGCAAATATTGACAGATGTATGTGTATGGTGTGTGGTTATACAGTCGCACCCCGGTATTTGCCCACACTATATTCAAATATAATATCCAGAATTTAAATTAACTCGTTGTTAAATAGTAATTTCGGTTTGTAATTAGCGCATGATTAAGATAAAATATTTTTTATGTAATTCTTGTAATTATTTTGAAATTCTATAGCATACTAGGTAATTATTCTAGGCTACAGAATTTGAGTGAGAAATGTGTAAAATAACGATTGTCTGTATAATTAATAAAACACTCCAATGAATACGTTTTTCTAATTATAAAACTTATAAAGCGCTGTACAGTATACATATTATTATGTATTATGCAAATATAAAGGTACGAGTGCTTGATGGTAATTAATGACAATAATTAATAAACATAAATTTCGCGGAAATTATTTTTAATAATATTTACTATTGTTTCTATTATATATTTGGAAACATAGTTAACATTTAACCTTTAGTAAAAATTTTATAACACATTTTGTGATTTAAAATCCTGATTAGAGTCATCAAACTGTTTCAAATAATCTGTAAATTATGATTGTGATTGCTTACAAACTAATGAACAATTTATAACACTTGCGATTTTCAAATATTAAAATATCAACTCGACCTTTAGTTAACATGTAATAAATGAGGTCACTATTATAATTGTTCATTACACATCAAAATGATTTTGATTAAAATACAAAATCATGGTAACCCTCGCCATAATGCACTTGTTGTTGCCAATACACAACTAACTTACAAAGTAGTATAAATTATAATCCTTTTTGTAATAAAGTGCTATTTTAAGCTTAACTTTTAATAGAGTTTAGTTATTGTTTGGAAACTAATTCCACTAATAATGACTCAATTTTTGTAACAATTTATTATTAAAGAAAATTCATGATAAACACTGATAATCGTTATACAGAATCTGTACAGTATTACAGTATTTATTATTCTTATTAAAACAAACGCTTGAATAGAGTTATGGTTTACTAGTATATAATAAAAATATAATAAAAATGTATTGATTTTATAAATATTCAGATACGGCGCCCAAACCTAAAATGCACTTTTAATCCGTATAATGTTGCTAAAACTAAATACAATTTATACAATTATCAAATAAAATGAGACAATTTTGGAAGTTATTTATTTTAGCGGCAATTCATTTCATTTGATTATCTATGCAAAGATATAATGTAATTAAAATCCAAAAAAGTTTTAGTTATATTTATGTACTACTGTATATAAACACACATCATTCACAGTATATCTTATTGTAATTTATTCTTCAAGTACTAATCAATAAATTAATTAAGTCCTCAAAAGGCTTAGTATTCATACATAGTATGTATTTATATAGCCGTACACTATATTCCAATGAACCATAAAAAGTAGAATATTCTGTAAATATATTCAACGAATTCTCTGTTTCCGAGAATCAGTTTCCTTTACATTCAATATTAATACAAAATATATCAAATATTAAATCTATATTTGCGGGCAAAAGTATTATATAACAAGCAATTGTACAATAATAGGGGAATAATATTTAGTTAGTAATTTGTATATAGAAAATAAGTTATAGCAAAAATGTTTCTCTATAATTATGAGCGCAATAATAAACTATTCATAAGAGGGAAAAATTTTAATCTAAATGTAAACATAATTTAGGATACAATTTGAAATTAAAAATAGAGTTTCGAAATACTTTTATCTCCACTTTAATTATCGTGTGTTTGATTAACAAAAAATAACTGTATATTTAATGATCGTATTCAATATAAAACACAATCTGCTTTTTAGAAATAAATTTGTTTGGTGAAGTAATACAATGCTTGAAATTTAATACATTTGCATGTAATTTATATACATATGGCACAACTGGTTTTAAATGTTTTCTAAATATAGTGTAATTCAGAATATTTTATGCAAAATAAAATAAATCTCTATTTTTTGTAAATATAGGCATACTGTGAGTTTAATTCAATTCATATTTTTTTGTTCATTTCATGCAACAAATGGTAAATATTTTTATGTCTTTAATATATTTATATATAGATTGTATTATGTTATATAAGGATGACATACTGTACTGTATTTCACAATTTGTTCAAATATTTAAAGAGTTATATCCGAGTACTGGAAGTCTTATTGTCTTTTTTATATCAAATTTATTTTTGTCACAAAATGGTTAGAAAGTGAACACAAAATGTGTTTCCTATCCATTAAACTGTTCCAGGTGCTCATGTTGCGACTATTATTCTTGTAATTCACACATTTCTATACAAACTGTAAATATAGGTGACCTTGATCAGTGACAATATAAACTTCTTGAGATCAACTTTCAACAGCTGATTGATAGCCATAAAATTGATCAATAAATGGGTGATAAATTTCATTTATTATCAGGGAATTAAGTGTTCTTGCTTACAAACACAAACTCTTTTCATAGAAAAAACTTTAAATAGTAAATACTATACTGAGTCCGAGTGCTCGTAAAAAGGTGTTTGTAATTTGATTTACTATTATTCACGGCTTATATACAATGTGTGTAATTGAATGAGAATTACTCGCGACTCTCGGTGACTGCATAACGATGTCATAAATAATGCAATTTTTATGTATTCATTAACGGCTTTATGGGCCGACTATGCACTCAATTATTTATACGGCTTTTATGGAAATCAAAATTAATTTTATTTATACAAACGTCTTATTATGAAAGTATAAAGTCATTATTATAATGTGTCGTTTGGGTGCCAGAAATGGCAAATTTGAGAAAACAATTTCCCACTTAAATAGTCGCAAGTATTTGAGACATTGATTATCGGTTGCGAAGAGTTATTTCTCATTAAAAGGGACGACTGACTGATGACAACAATCAAAGCCCAATGCATTTGAGTGCTAAACAAAGTGATGATAAGACTCATGCGAATCCTAGTCTCACTTTTTGGAGACTTCTCGGAGTAAAAGGCTATAAATGTATTGTGTATTCAAGTGGTCGGCAATCGATCAAAACAAGAGAGAATTCTCTCTTATAATAAATGAGTACTTAATAAGATTGAGTCCAATATATCATAGGAAAATGGACTGAAAACATATCAAAGTCTGATATATAACTAATACTCCGTAATATAATAAAGAAGTTAATGTTTGCATGTGAAGGAAATTAATTAAATATAAATAACAGTCTCTTTTTCTAATTAAATGCCAGAGGGGTTTGTCATTCCCATCCCATTCCCATGTTATTAGTTATGTTAATATAATTATATTGCCATCCGTTTTAAATACATGTACAACTTTTTATTATTACTAATTAATTAATTCTAAGAATTGAACATTTAATGTTTGCTTTCGACAAATCGATACAATTTCTACTTTTTAATTAGGTGGTTAAACCAATCGATTTCATAGATTATACTGTATACATTATATTAATTATATCACATACAATATAAATTATTAAGTATATTTAATATTCTGTTGGTAAATAAGTACATAAAGTTGGTATGCCTTAATTAATATATAAAACACATGGAAAATAATAATAAAAATGTCTTCAAAATAACTTGTAAGGTTTTCAAAAAAATCCAGTTTTTAAATTTTCACGCTTATAAAGCAATGAACAGAAGATTTTAGCATTTTTAGCATTTTCTCAGAATTTTTTACACAATATAAACCAAAAATATTCTGAGAATGAAGTCATAATATTGAGGATTTAATAACTCTGTAATTATTATTTTATTATTACACGAAAATAAAAAAATATACTGTATATAACTGTTCGTAAATAAGTGATTGAGTGTTGAGTAATGAAACCAGTTTTTCAGACTAAGTCTCAAGTCAAATATCTTCAGGAAATACTACTACAATCATGTGTTCAATAAAATACGGTAGCTTTAATTAATTATAATTTATAAACATATAATTGTTAAAATGCTCATTTCGTGAGTACTGTATGTGTTATACGAATCTAAAGTGTTTCGCAAATGGCCACAAATTAATGCTTATCCTCAATTTTAGTTTCATATCAAATATTTACTTTAGTAACTTCGAGTACAAATATACGACTGTGACCATGGACAATGAAAATTGTTTTTAGTTATGAAATGATAAACTAAAAAAATTTATTTTTCTAAATTAGCTTTGTTTTTAAAAGTGCGAAAGTAAACTTATAAATGGACGAAACTCATACACATTTTCTATATTTTGGTAATTATTCACAACAATTATATTAATTACACTAATTTTATTTTTCTATACCAATGATACAGTTGTGTTGCTCTTAATTTCAATCATAGACATCGAAACAAAACAATTTTGTTTATCATATGTGGAGAACTATAATGAAATTGATTACGGGTTGAGACAAATCAAAGACAAAAACGAGTCCAACTCTTTCCTATTCATTGATAACCACTATTGGGATCTCGATTTCATCGACGACAGCGACGATAATAAAAAGACAGTTAATCTATGGATGACTGAGAGTAGAAAATCTATTCACTGGTTTGGCGGACACTATTCAATGGCATTTGCATTGTGGAGACCCGGAACCCAACGGAGATCCTGTGTTTTTGCACTCATTAATGTTAATCAAAGGATCTAAAAGTTATATAAACTTTATTTTTATAAATCAATATATTTTCACTATAGGGTAACAAAACATTGGTTGACTTCAGAGTACGGGTCGGACACATAGGAAGGGAGCATAAAGTCAAAGAATACCAGAAAGTGATTGAGACTCCCATAGAGTTCATTGATTTGAATCCGAGCATCGCTTTTGTGCCAAACAGAGAGCAATATTTGGGAAGACTTGTGGTATTTGTAGAGCGAAAGCGATTGGATCCTCAAAAATTTCAAATCATCAGCAAAGTCTATGAATTTGATGACAACTACATCGGCACTGAAGTCTCAAATATCAGTCAATTGAATGACACGAATCCCATAGCTCTCAATGATTTAGACCCAGAATTAGATGTGATAGCGATTATGGCTCAAATGGATCGGTCGGGAGTTTATGGACTCATTATTGTGTTTAGGTTTGACAAACATATTAAATATTGTTGGACTCCTGACAGACAACTCAGCCATAATGTAAGGCATACTGTTATTATTGTATAAAACTGTCTGAAAGCGTGATATAAATTGAGTACCAAAAAAGTGATTGATTTTTAATTTTAGTGCAAAAAAGAGAATCTGAAAACTTTGATAGATTGCACGGGATTTGAGTTTAACGTCAATAACACAACAGAATATACGACACAAACATACAATATAACTGAAAACACATACAATATAACTGAAAAGACATCACAGAATCTAAGCGAATATAATATAAGCGAAAATGTAAGCAAACAGATAGACAGCTTTGTACTCAACGTAAGTCTGGTGGTTTTTCTGTTGGCAAAAGGCCGTAAAGAGATGCATAACTAGGGTCATCACCAGACAAAGAATTAATACCAGAGTTATATAACCGCGATGTTTATGTCACTCAGTCCATTGGAAAATAAAAACAAACTTAATCTCAATTATAAATCGATTGATATTTGTTTTTTGTACTCTTATAGAGAGAAATAATAGCGATTCAGATATTGATCTGAAAGTTCTCGAAGAAGTAGTCGACGAGGATTCACAGCAAACGAGTGACACAAATCATAAACAAAGATATTAAACGAAGCCTTAATTAAATTTGACGATTGATTGTAATTATAAAAGAATTTTTTTACTTAATTAACGTAAATGTACTAAAATGCGAAAATATAATTTCAATTACGTTATAATGGTTTTGACAATTATGTGAAAAATGCTTTCTTAATGTTTGTCGATAACAAGAATTTTTGCTTTTCTATTGTATTTAAATATATAATATTGAGGGAGAAAAAAGTTACAATAGTTTTTCAAATGCAACGGTTATTCTGGGAAAACATAAATTCTTCACTTTTTGTTATCATTTATTCCTTAAGGCCTCAAACGACATGAAATCAGTACTCAATATATAACTGAAACAACATTTTAATGTCAAAACATTTATTATGCCTTTTCTTTTGAGGACAACACATGAAATATGGATACAATTCGTATAAAACATATTCAGTCGTTTTGGCGGATATTTTTAGATACATTTTTCAAAAATACTTTTATACTTACGACGATTATTAGATAAATGAGTGATTGAATAAATAAATAATGCTACAATCAATTTAATTTTTCGCATATAATCAATCTAACATCTCAACAGAGAATTTGATTGTTATTTTTAACACAAAAATCTAATAATTACTTATCATATGAATCATGAATGCAAAGCATTTATGGGATTAGTTGGAAGGAAAGGGATTCGCGTGAAATTCCAGTTAATTAATGAAAATGCTTTGTGAAGTAACCTTAATATTATTCACGACATTTCTCGCTGAATATTAATTCAGTTAATCCCACATAAATATTACTGAAACTGTATTGAAAAGCAATATTGTTTTTGAACTTAATTTCCATAAAGGATTCCTGATAAACGCCTAACAAGTGCCCAAAAATGTCATTAAAATTACAGATAATTCATAAAAATTCATAAAATGATAACAATTATAGATAATAATTAGACACCTCTTATGAGACAATTGCGACAAATATATCGTAACTTCGCTGTTTATGTCATGTAATTATAATATTATAGTATAAATTATATTATGTTAATCAAAAATTCTGGTTAACACTAATCTCGATAATAAAATCCATTTTTTATTTTGTAATTAATGTGTTTTGCATGTGTTTCACAACAACTGTTTGTCTATGTCTTGAAAATATATAATCAAAACTTAATTTAACGAAAAAACAAATCCAGTTATTTCTCAGTTGGGATTAAAATCTCTTTTAATTAGCATTCAATGAATTTATTAAGACATTAGTGACAAAACTCTAGACATTAAAAATATATAATCAAAACTTAATTTAACGAAAAAACAAATCCAGTTATTTCTCAGTTGGGATTAAAATCTCTTTTAATTAGCATTCAATGAATTTAAATTCTGTAATCACTGTTTTGAGATCTGTAATTAAGACCGGAATTAAAACAGACTTTACTTTGAGATAAAAGTATCGGATACTCGCGTCTCTGTGACCAAAACTTTTATTATCAAAAATAAACTTAAGTATTTTTACTTTCTATTCTCATATCCGGAAATCTAAAATTTTATTTCCAACTAAATAATCATTTCTGTTCTCTATATTTGAAAAACAAAGTAATTATCGTAAACAGAGATTATTTCATTTCATAAATAGTGTATTTTCATAGAAAATCCACACATTTATGACTAGGGATTCGTATGAAATGTTTGGTGAATTCTTAAATAATAGGTACAAAACACTATTTTCTAATATGGTATACTTACAATGCAATCCCTTGAAATGTTCCCGCTTTTTCAAATTAAAACCGATTAAATTATACTCGTATGGTATAGTATAATAATAATATCCAGGTCCAGTAATCTAGCGGAATGTTTTAGGCGTCTAAATCGGTAATTATATCTGTCGACGCGCTCTATACATTTTTTGCTATAAAAACCTATTCTACTACTCATACTATACCAGTCTGAGTTACAATACTATGAATGAATGTGTTTCACAGCAAAAATATATACCGTAGAGTTTTTATACTGCGTTGACCGACACAACCACCGATTTGGACACCTAACAAGATAATAATTCTGCTAGATTACCGAACCTGGATATTATTATTATACCATACTTTACGAATATAATTTAATCGGGAATATAATTCCAATAGCGGAACATTTAAAGGGTATACATTGTCAGTCTACTGTACTCTTATTGCTTTTGTAAATATAAATATTTACACATTATTTTATGAATGTAACTAATTTACGAGTAAAACTACATAAAGCGTACAATCATTGAATTCACTAGTTTAAGCCAGTAAGCTATATTTATAAAGTGTTACATTATTCATAACTTTTAAAAATGTATAATTAAAAGTACTGTAATAATGAAATTTATAGAATATTCGTAATAAGATATTTTTATAATTA